ATCATAAATTTAAATTATATAATATATAAATAAAATTAATTAAAAAATAAAAATAATTATTTTTTATTATATAATTCAATACATATAAAATTCCAAAGACATTGTAGGAACCGCTTCAAAAAGGACTGCATCCACCTTTAGAGGTGAAAGTTGCTTTAATTAATAAATAAGTATCATATCAACGATTTGTTGGTTTGAGTAGAAAAAGTTCAATTTTTTTAAAATAAAATATCGAATTCGAATCTTATGAATAGAGAAACATGTATTAAAAAAAACTTTTTCTTTAATGGATTCTGATCCGATTCGATTTCGGATTATTCGAAATTTAATATAATTACCAGATATCGAGAGATTGATATAAAAGAAATAAATATTATTTTATATGTTAAGTTTATATTTAAATTTTAAAATTAATATTTAAATTTAAAATTTTTAAATATATTAAATTTATGCAAAAATTCAAAATATGTAAAAATTATATGAAAATACCTCAATGCTAAGTAATACACAGTAATAAAAATAGAAAAAGGACCAGTATCTTGACCGTACGTACTTAATCAAGGAGGCAATGTATGTACGGTTAAAATGGCCAAAACCCGCAAAGCACTAACAACACCCCATAAAGTCTGAGTCCAACACGTTCAGTACTTCAGGAGAGTGTTATGGAGAATGAAGAAGCAATATCTAATATTACTTCACCGTCGAATCAACCATCGAATCGACCGATCATAAACTTGCTTCTTGGAGTATCACTTCTTTTGATCTCTTTGTTTTGCGTGAGTACCCTTTTAAGCTATTGCCTCAACTGGCTCAAGCTTAGGACTCTCCTCAGATCGTCCCTCGACGATACAGACGGTAGAGATGTTCGAATTGATGTCACTCATCATTTACCAGAGGAAGCTGCTGATCATGCAGAGGTATTTTATGCATCTATATATATGGTTCTCACGCATCAGAAGACAGAAATCATCAAATTCATATATATATATATATATATATATTTATATACTGGTACAGCTTTGCAATCATAGTGCAAAGATTGCTTCCCCTGTTGATTTCCTTGTTCTTCTTCCTGATA